GAAAAAATAAAAACTTTTACGAGAGTGCACAAATACATGATCATGCCGATGATATTCATATCTTTGGCTTTAAAAACCGGTTTCCGCTTTGTCTAGATTACTATAGGCAAAGAGGGAAAACGAATAGGTCTCGTGGTGAACGCGGACAATACGAAATGTCTCCCTTCGTTATATCAGCGAATTCGTATATTATTCGTATAATTTCGTCTAATTAGAGTCAGTTTCGAAATATAACGGATAATCGCTCTAGTCAGCAGGTATTACTTTGAACTCTGTAGGCTTCAAGAGTAACGAACAGATGCATGGACGATGCCGACATCCGTTGAAACGGCACTGGGATGTGTCGAAAAAAGGATTTCTGGAAAATGTATGGCCCTTTGCGCTTTGAAAAGGGCATATACCACAAATGAATCAATTTTCAGTAGTACTAAATTATACTTTAATCAATATACATTACATACAAGGAAATATTTTATAAAACAAAACGATACGTGCCAAGTTTTGAATGCCTTTGCATGCTTGGTATATGTGAAAACTTGTCAACTTCTTCAGCATTGCTTTGTAAGATTAATTAGACGCCAATTTTCTCTATCATTTCCGTAATCATTATTGGCAGTTGTAACCGCTGAAGCGATTTCCGGCGGAACTCCTGCTCTAATAAGTGGTTCTACTTCTTCAGGTCTTAAGCCGCATCCGAACGGCCGAGGGATTTTTATGAGGAGCTTTTTATATATTACAGGTCAGAAATATACTCAGAGGGGTTGATATTCCCTACCGAGGGACGACCATAATTAGAAAATTTTACTTAATTTTTTATTTAAATTAAATTTCTATAATTCTTAGATGTTAGTCGGACTAAAACTATTCGTAATCTCGGCTATTCGCTATCGGCGCATGAAAATACGTTCACCTCTTCGAAACTCAAACATATAAAAGTTCAACCAATATATATCGGTTTCAGGTTTTCTTACCTGAAGAGAAAGTGGCAAAAAGCTCCCGGTGTACCAAATTTCAAGTGAATAAAAAAAGAATGTCATAAAAAATGTATATCTCAAGCACGGAGCACGGACTTCCGAGAGAATTTTCTTTGTCTCCGAAAATAATTATATTCGCTATAGAGATAATTATTCTCTATTTTCTTGTTTTTCTCACCGTCTGTTTGTACGCAAAGTAATCCCCCAGTTTTATAAGTATTTCAACCAAACTTAGTGCTCATATGTCTTTTTTACATTAAAACGTTCATTTTCGGAACCGGCAAGATCACTGATATTTAATATTTGATGTCTTTCGACAAGTTCTCCGGGCTTACGTCAGCAGTGCTGCGTTTAATCTAACTGAAAATGGTCAAATTTGGACTAGTTAATTGGAAACGTGCTATTCCCATTTTCAGCGATGGACGTAGCGCCGTCTTGTGGAAAGTAAACTTTATCCAGTTCAATGCTATCCAATTTCGGCCATAAAAAATCATAATTATCTCTCAATAGCGTAATTCATTCACCGTAGCTGTTGCCCCAGGCTCATTTTCAAAAAAGTAAAGTCTAATGACACCGCCGGTCAATAAACTGTACCTAACCTTCACACGTTGAGGATGGACGAACTTTTCAACAACAAAACTTGGATTTTTCCGGCCTGTAGATGCTACAGTTTTGCTAACTGACGTAGCCATCGAGGTTGAAATGGTCCTCATCAGTCAAGATGATTTTTCGATGAAATTTTCATAATGAATTTCAACCATTTCAACGGATTGTTGAAGCGTGTATTGTTCCATTTGGATTACCGGTCAAAAAAACTACAGCTTTAAAAGTGACATCTACCGGAATAGCAGGCTATTCGAAATACCACCTCTTATGGGAAAACCCTTAATTATTGATCTAACTTCTTATTTGTATGTGTGGGTATGATCTTCGCTGCTCAGAGTTTTTCACGAAAATATCAGTATGAAGATCTCGAACGCATCATAGGTAGTAACCGGTAGCCGAGAGAAACGAAACGAGCATAGAATATGTATCTACGCACGAACTATTCTTACATCCAAATCATACCAATTTTTGTCAATCCGTCGGCGACCTTTTTCCCGCAAAGAAAGTATTAATTTCAGCAAACCGAACTTGATTCCAGGTCTTTTGTTCATTTCCAGTTTCCGAAAATGACCCAAACATATGAATATTTTTCCAAATAGAGCGATCAACTTTTCGTAAAAAATGAATTTCAAGTAAAAAGAATTTTAAAGCGATTTTTTTGCAGATTTTTTCGAAGAGGGCGGACTCATTATCCTAAAAAAAAATTCCAAGAACCATAGAAAAAATCTTACAAAATTTCAAGTCCATCGGTAATTTTTCGAGATATGCAAATCCTTATTAACGAACGTAAAAAATTTATATATTCGTCCGCAAGTAAGATGAAATTTCAAGATGGTTCTTATACGATTTTTAATCGTTTTTACGTTATTCATTTTATTATAATTTATAAATACTCTAATAAATCGTTCATAATAATTAAATGCTTTCCAAAATACTTCATATATTGACCCAGCAAAGAGTCATATATGGAGCATACTAAAGAAAACTGGACCCTAGAATGAATTTCAGGTCCACTTGCCGGTAGAAAAAGTAATCACCGTATTAATGTATGCCCAAGGCTACATCTATGTAAATCAAACGATAAAAGAAATGTTTTGTATAGATCGGTCCCAAGTACACCTTCTGGAAGAAAAGTATCTCCCATCTCAATTTAGGCAAAGAGCTTCCTATGCACCAAATTTTATCAAAATCAAACGATTTCAAAATAATTTCAATTTTTTTCCAATAGATCGGCTCCAGGCTCACATCTCAAAAAAATGCTTTCTTATCGTATGCCTCCGTCACACGCAGAACGCACTCTACGTGTGCGCTCATCCGGCAGTCCTTCAGGCCAAAGCCTTTTATTTTTATAGATAAATAATCATAATCCACCCTGGATCCACCAACAGTTCTTAATATGAAATTTTAAAATTACAAATAATGAATTTCCATGTAACTCTTAATCGGATTAATGGATTATTGAAAAGAAAATTGTGGAAAGTCGAGCTTGAATTGTAAACTTTTTTTTTTAGATATTTTCTTTCAGTAAGTTGTTCAGTCGGCCGAGTGATTAGCATTGCAGAGCAACACTCAAAATTATAGCTGATTTGGATCGAGTCTTGGCAGGGTATGTCAAACTCTCCGAGTGTAATTTTGACATGAAATAAAAGCTGCTCATAAAAACCATCAGCCGTTCGAAGGCAGCTTAGAATAAACTGTCGGTATCTCTATTTGTAGAAAAATATAAAGCAGCATACCACAAATCGAAGGAGGAGCTCGGCAAAAAATCGCTTCAACGGTTACATTGCGCCAATTATATATAAGCAAGTAATTAATTAGTTTCTATTTTCGGTCAAATTCAAGATTGAACTCGGTATTAGTAACCCCTTTTTTGCAACACTGGTTTGAACAGCTGACGCACGTTTCGTATTTTGTATCACTGTCAAACATCTTCAGTTTGGTCTATAATTTAACCCTAAATAGTTTTGCAAACGAACATTGCGATCAGCCAGAAGCATAGCAAGAGCTACCATTGCTTCCAGAAAAAGTCATAGTTTGTTGCGCTTTATGGGCTGGTGGCATCATTGGATCGTATTTCTTTAAAGATAATTCGAATCATAACATAACTGTGAATGGTGAGCGCTACCGTGAGATGATATCAAACTTTTTTTTCCCCCAAAATGCATGAGCTTGACTTGCATGAAATGTGGTTTCAACAAGACGGTGCCACATGCCACACAGCACGTGTAATAATAAACTTATTGAGAGGCGAGTTCGGTGAACATATTAGTTCACGTTCGGGACCGGTCAATTGGCCGCATAGATCGTGTGATTTGACGCCTTTAGACTATTTTTTGTAGGGCTATGTTGAAACTAATGTCTATACGAGACAAGCCCGCTTCAATTGACGCATTGGAGGACAACATTGAAGCATTTACTAGTGAGATCCCGGCCGAAATGTTGAAAAGAGTATGCCAAAATTGGACTAAACGGATGGACCATTTGAGGCGGAGTCACGGTCAACATTTGCATGAAATAGTCCTCAAACATAAAATTATATGGACCGTGCTCTCGATTCAAATAAAGATTTCATGCATTTATCTGAATTTTAGTTGTTGTTTTATTTTTTTTGTTTTTTTTGGAAAACTTTCCTATAGCTCTTAAATAATCACCCCTTATATGTATTTATAATATATCCACTTAGAAATTTCCTTTGTTCAAACCGTTTTTCTGTGAACTCCTTTTCTATTATAATTTTCTCTCACTCTCTTTTTCTCCGATCTGCTTACCTCCTCTCCTCTGCCTCCTTCTCCCTTTCACTACTTCTTCATATTTCCCCGCCTGTGTATTTGGTCATCGTCGCTCTTTATTACTAGCCCCTACAACAATGTAATAGTAAACACCGGCGATGGCTTTTGTTGTTGCACAAACCAATGTAAACATTGTTTACTTGCCAACTCGTTGATTTAGTATCACCGCAGGGCGATTATCCATTCAAAAGATTCTTTGGTTGCGTAAACATTTTAATAACCTTTTCTTGTAATTGTAATTTGTCTGTTGAGCAAACAAATCATCGTCATCGTCTTCATGTCTATGCTTATATAATTCCTGCATACATATTTATACAAATGTTATTCATACCTTTTTTTACCTCATTTTCGGCGGACTCTCAACACATAATAGAACACTGAAGTAGATATGTGTGTATGTGTGTATGTGTGTGTTAGCCCTTTTACTACTATTTGTTTTTGGTTGAGTACCTCACTTAACGCTTAGGACACTTTGATAAATAGTTTTTCAAGGTCTATGAATTACGTGAATGCGGAATGAATTGTTGTGGTTTTGTTTTTTTTTTTTTTAATATTATATGTATGTAGTTACATATCTACAAATGCATGAACATATTTTATTTGAATTTTTTGTTTTTTTTTTCGTTTACAGTGGCGTACAGTGTCGTGACACGCTAAATGGAGCCCAATGCGATGCTTGCCCCATTGGCTACGATGGTGATGGTCGTTCGTGTACAATACGCACAGGTGAGTGGAGTACCACAAAACGATTTATAGCTAAAAAATATATATACGAGTATATTTAAAATAAGCGAATATTGAAATTTACTTTTTGAAAAACTTTTTAAAGCCCATAGGACAACATGTATAGTACATCGGTCCCTGAATGGTATCGAACTCATTATATCAGGAAATTTTGGTACCAATAGTTATCTGGTTTTTTACAAATTTGACGGTAATCTCATTATGTCTCTCTTGCAGAAGCCCTTGTATTTACTGGCAAAAAATTGGAAAAGTCGATTTTCACAGGCTTCTCTTGAGTCCAATTCTTCACCAGTCAAATCATTCGCCATAAAAAAAGTGATGATATTAAACACCTGTTCCGGGGTGTGAATTATAAGGTGGCGAGTCACTATTGATGTGTGTTATATGGCTTTATCCTAATGAAACACAATTCTCCTCCTGTTAGTCAAAGCTGGGCCCTTCTGGGCGATTGTTTCTTTCAAACAATTCAATTACAAGCAGTTCAGGTTCGAAGTAAGTATTTGGCCGTTTGGGAAGCAGCTCATAGTGGATCAATCTTTCCAATCCCACTAAGCAAAACCTGCCTTTTACGTTTCCATTTGACATTTGCTGTAAGTGATCCTTTTTTCATTTCCAGTCAACAGCTGCTTCGGAAACGGGTCGATTTTGTTACGATTAACCAGCGATTTGCAGATGAGAATTCGTTCAATGCTTGTTTGAGCAATCGAAACAGTGCTCACATGAGGATGAGACTGGATGATGGGTGGGCCCGTCTCATGAGGTTTTTTCTCCTTAGCTCATGTGGTACCCGCACATCGAGCTTATTTATTTATCCAGCCTTCTTCAATTGGTTTCGAACTGCTTTTTGTGCAATTTTCAGCTACTAGACAATCGAGATCGAGCTCGCATCATGGTCAGACTCAACGATTTCCATTATTTTATCGATATTTTCGTCAATTGGCCTACCCCACCGTGGAGTGTCTTTTAGATCAAAATTACCGGAACGAAATCGTCGAAACCGAAATCGAAATGAAATCACGCTTGAGTATCGCGAGATACAGATCATTAAAGCAATCTATAGGCAAAATAGTGGATGACCTTTTACTTTAGCTAATATTTCGATACTGAAAGTTTAAAATCTCAGTTTGTTGTAATTTCCTCAACATCAAAAAACAATTTCTTTACCTGGGCCATCATCTACATCTTTTTTGATCTAAATTCTAGATATGTTCTGGGTAATAAAAAGTAATCTCTAGAAAAAAATTAAGAGCAGTTGCATATCGGTTCCACTACAATTTTCACCAAATTTGAAAATAACTAAAAACCGAACTTTTATTTAAAAATCAATTTTTTTGTGATTTCACTTAAGTGTTGATGAAATGCGGTGCTGATTCAAATACTCTATTTTTGAAAATAACAAATAAATATTAGAAATAATTAAAAATTAAATAAATTAAGAGGACTTTTAATTTTTTTTTATTATGGTATACCATTTTTAAAAAATCTACCATACCCGCCAGTCTATAGGAAATTTAATAAAGAATTACAAAAAACTGTTTTAAAACAGTATCGAAAATTTTGAACATAACCTCGTTTTTTGGAGAACATTTCGAACCCATATAGTTTTTAATTTTTTCATAAAGGCTTTTATTAAAGGGTGATACTTTAAGAGCTAAAGGAAAGTTTTTCAAAAAAAAAAGAAAACAACTAAAATTCAGAAAAATGCATGAAATCTTTATTTGAAGCGAGAGCACGGTACATATAATTTTATTTTTGAGGACTATTTCATGCAAATGTTGACCGTGACTGCGCCTCAAATGGTCCATCCGTTTAGTCCAGTTTTGGCATACTCTCTCCAATATTTCGGCTGGTATCTCACTAGTAAATGCTTCAATGTTGTCCTCCAATGCGTCAATTGAAGCGGGCTTGTCTCGTATAGACATTAGTTTCAACATAGCCCCACAAAAAATAGTCTAAAGGCGTCAAATCACACGATCTAGGCGGCCAATTGACCGGTCCCGAACGTGAACTAATATGTTCACCGAACTCGCCTCTCAATAAGTCCATTGTTACGCGTGTTGTGTGGGCTGTGGCACCGTCTAGCTGAAACCACATTCCATGCAAGTCAAGCTCATGCATTTTGGGCAAAAAAAAAAATTTGATATCTTCTCACGGTAGCGCTCACCATTCACAGTTACGCTACAATTCGAATTATCTTTCAAGAAATACGGTCCAATGATGCCACCAGCCCATAAACCGCACCAAACTGTGACTTTTTCTGGAAGCAATGGTAGCTATTGCAATGCTTCTGCCTGATCGCAATAGCCCGAATAGCCGCTTCAGTGGGTCGATTAAACCGAACATAAGATAGAACAAGCGCGCATAGAAGAAGCACGCATTTCGAGCATAAAATTCATTAATTTACTAGCGTTGTTCGTTTGCAAGACGATTCATGGTTAAATTATAGACCAAACTGAAGACGTTTGACAGTGATACAAACACGAAACGTGCGTCAGCTGTTCAAACCAGTGTTGCCAAATAGAAAATAGCTAAAAAAAAAAATCACCCTTTATTACCTGGTACATATCCTGAACTAAGATCAATCCATTCGGGAAAATTTAGATTTTTTCGAAAACGGTAATAAATAAAGATATCTTAAACTAGCAGAATCAAAATATTGTATGTTATTCGTACCAGCTTTCGCCGAAATGATGAGCTCCGATAGCTGGCCGTTTCTGGCAGTTTCTTCTATTTTTAGCTCCTGACTGTTTACAATTTACTTGCACGATAACAGCTTATTTTCATTTAATTTAAATATTATATTTATTATATTTCTCTTCTTCCAGCCAATCTCTTAGTGCCCTCTCACAACGTTCAACACTATCAACGTCAATACACTGCACGCAAATACTCTGTTATTAGCACTTGAGAACAACTTTAACGAAAATCCCGTTAGTCAACACAAAGTAGCGCATTTATGTGTGCGTTTTAATTTTAGTCAATTGTGTTTAATAAAATAATAAAATATTTGCAACATAACTTGCCTTAACGTAAAATATTTATATACATACAGATATACTATGTATATGCATACACATACTCGTATGCATGCTTTTGTTCAAGTATTATCGAATCCAAAAAGTGAAAGTTTAAGATAACAATGCAATATTCTCTGTGTACAACTTATTGAAATTGTAACAAATATTTTTTTCTTAATTTTATTGATGTGTGAAATTCTAACAAAATAATTGTAAAACAAATTGAAACGAATAAAGTTGAGTTAAATAAATAAATTAAAAATATCAAAATTGTACTGAAATTCAATTTCGATGCGAACTGCATAAGCATATTCCGAAGTTCGAGCGGATTAAATTTTTCGGAAATTATGTTCGAATCGATTATTCAACGAATTTTTGTTTTATATATCGATTTATCGAAAAACCTTAGCGGAGTATTTTGACGAAGCTTTGATCGATATATTAAGCTCTTTCGTTTCTATTTTACGACGCGTAAAAACCTAAGAAGCTTGTTTTGAAGTTTATCTGCAATTGTGGGGAGAAGCAAACACAAAAGGGAGACCCCAAAGTCTACGCCCATTACCGTAAGATAAGCCTTCGCAATAACAAACTGATTGGACGTTATAGGTGTAGATTTAGACCTGGTAAATCCACCATTGACCAAATGCTCACCATGCGCGAAGTTTTGGAAAAGACCCGTGAGAAAAGTATCGACACAAAACACCTACGACACACAGCACGAAAAGGAGCTGTCTCTACGCCGCTATGTCTGAATTTGCTATCCCCCCAAAACTTCTACGGTTATGTAAACTGACGATTAGCAACATCAAAAGCTCCGTTGGTAGGCAAGGATATCTCTAAGTCTCAGACAAGGCGTCAGCAACTGTACCGTAACTCTGCTTTCTCCAGATCAGATAAGGAAGCGTAGCGTTTGGGTCTGGCAGTGAACTAAAACAAGACAGAATATCTTTAGTCATCATTCATGACTCGGCTTCCACGTCACTATTGACAGTCATAATACTGAAGTCATAGATTGCTTTGTCTACCTTGGAACCAGCGTTGACACCAAGATCTGGCTCAACAAGTGATACGTCAGACTCAGTGAGTAATTTAAAAGTAAAGTGCTCTTCCGGCGAATGAAAACCAAACTCTACAAGTCCCGTCCTGCTATATGGTGCGGAAGCATGGACGATGACAACATCTGATGAGTCGGGTCTGGGAGTCTTCGAGAGAAAAGTTTTGCGACCAATTTATGGTCCTTTGCGCATTGGCAACGGCGAATATCGCAGACGATGGAACGAAGAGCTGTATAAGCTATATGATGATATTGACATAGTTCAGCGAATCAAGAAGCAGCGACTACGCTGGCTATGTCATGCCGTCCGAATGGATGAAATCACTCCTGCTTTGAAAGTTTTCGATGCAGTATTAAGCAAAATATTTTAAAAGGATTAAAAAAAATTATGATCTCTCTTTGCAATTGATATGAATAGCTATCAATTATTACTGGGGAGCAGCTCTCCGAATAGAACTATTTCAATAAAACAATTGAATTTTGATACTTCGAAACGTATTTTCGATTTTCTTAATTCCGATAGTAATCAGAGGGAGTCTAAGAAACTGCAACAAGTGGATGCACTTAAGCAATTAGTAGGCTCATTGTGCTTCCTTGATTTTGCATCAGTGAACAGAAATCCGGAAGGCTAAAGCTTGGGGCATCGTGTGAAAGATATGATATGTGAATCGGCAGAAGGCTCCAACCCTTCGTATACCCTTAGCCGATTCAAAGTTAGCTAGTTTTTGAAGATGACATCTTGGGGGTACCAGAATACAAAGTTTTCTTTTGTTTAGTGAAAGTAAACTTCTGGTCTGTATGCCTGCAATGCGCGCTACGTGACAGAAACTTAGAGTTATTCAACAGCATACGGCTTTAGACTGAATTTAGCCAGCTCGACCGCTCTTTTTCGATAAAATGTGGTAATATATTCCTCCCCTGTTTTCACACAATCATACTTTGTGTTACCCATTGGACAACTTCAGTAATGCCTCAAATATCTGGTTGGTAGACATAATTGTTGTTGACTTTAAACATACTGCCTCGCATTTAGACATCAATATACTAGACATAAATATCCTCACAAATAATGGTAGTACTTGCGAAGGATCAGGTGGCATCCACCTGACAGAAAGTTTAATTTTCTCGGTCGCTCTTCCCAGTTAGGAGACTAAAGAAAATTAATGGGAGTTCCAGGAAACACGCTCTTTGGAGGGGTTCACACCAGAGGTTGGATGAGTTTCAGGGGACTCACTGCATGCAGAACATACGTGGGTACGTCGGCGACTAGCCTGAGTAGGTAGGAGTTTAATCTACTATAATATCTAGATTTAAGTTGCGCCCGTATTACGCGGGAATCACGAGAAAGTTGCAATAGTATGCGGGGTGAAGGAGTGCGAGCTGTCGAATGAGTCTCTCAATTATTTCAGGTTGTTCATAGTCGAGTTCGAGTACCTCTTCGCCCGGGTGAAGATTGTCTTGTAGTAAAGGCAGTGCTCATAGTGCCTCTTATATCGAGTAAATATGTACATGGCACACATTCTAGAAATTTAATCCGACATTTCTACTTTAGGGTTGCCCATCATACTAGTGCCCCATATGTTAATATGGGTCATATGACACTTGTATTAAGCTCATACACCATTCAATTTCGTATCCCCTCTCTATTCCCTGCAATTCGTGTTTGGGATACTTTCTGCGTCACCTATTGCTAAATACAGCCTCTAATTGGCAAGTTTGTTTTGTTAATTCCACATAAACATTAATTCATATCCGCCAAATGACCACCATGGCTTCGCTTATAGGACTGTATCATTTTTATTAAATTTTCCATAACCTAATCGCAAAGGGGTTGCTGTATGCCCCCAATAGCTTTACGAATTCCATCTTTGAGCTCTTGAATATACTTTGGACTGTTGGCGTAGACCTTATCCTTTACGTAGTACCAAAGGAATGAGCTCAAGGTGTAATCACCGCTCCGAGATATAGCACGGTCCGGGAACTTTTAACTTAAAAGAACAATGGTTTCGCTGCTCTTTTTTGGGAAAAATAAACGTTATCGAGATCAATACCATCCAATTCCGGCCATGTAAAATCATTAATCACTTTCCGATAGCACAATCCATTCACCGTAACTTTTGCTCCAGCTTCATTTTCGAAAAAGTGAGGTATACGTTGAGCATGGATAATAAAACTTGGGTTTTCCAAAGACCAGATGCGACTGTTTTGCTTATTGCCCATCACCATCGAGGCCGAAAATCTCAGTAAAGATGATTTTTCGATGAAATTCCAGATCATTTTCATGTATTTCAAGCACCCAATTAAGCAAAGACACGACGTTGTTAATGATCGGACGGCTTGGGCTATTGTGATAACTGAACTTTATAAGAGTTAAGACCCATGTCTTTATGAAAAATACGGTGCAATGACGTATGTGCAATGCCCAATTCCAAAGAAAGACGAGGAGTGGATAAACCTGAAATTTTTACAACGTTTTGGGCTGCAGAAGCAGACTTCAAAATACAAATTATCTTGGCTTCTTGGCATCTGAGCCTGTTTGGACTAAAAGTGCGAACAGGTCTGACCTATTTGGCAGCAGGGCAGAAAGGAGTTTTTTTTGGCTGGCAGCTGTGAAGAGTTTAAAACTATAAAAACGTTTAAACTGCATTCGCCACGACGTCCAGTCAATAGTCTGCTTTAGAGGCTTCAAAAAATGCTTTTTCTTTTAAATCTGTTCTAAAACTATACAATAATATGTCTGCAAACATCTAATGGCCAATTCGACAAATTATAGAAGCTGGAGCAGTTTTAGTGGCCCCAGCGTCGAACAGGTGTGAATGCTCGGGCAGACTTTGAAGCGCGTTTTCTGGAGTTTTCAATTTTACAAGTCTTAAAAAACGGTGCGGGTGACATCAAAAACAAAAAATACACTTTCGACCGAAATAAATCAAAGTGATCTAGCTTCAATATTAAATTATCATCTATTTGAATTAAAAAAGTTGGACGAAAGTATTATTAAAACTATTTTTTTTTCTGCAATTTAAGTGAATTTTTTTCAAACTTCAAAAAACTTTGGAGTTTTCCAACTTCCTCGGTATTTTTTAGTTCATATAGAAGAGACACTAATTAAAATTAGAAAAAAAATATGATCCGAATGTTTCAGCTGCATCGCACAACCTCCATCAGCGGCACCGTTTCGCGAGTTAATAGTGCAGCTGCTTCAGAAAGCTCATCACAACACTGGGAAAATCAAATATTTTTTATACTAAGAATTGTATTTTGAAGTTTAAATATTGTACATTATTGGCTGTCTAAAAATTTCGTTTACCACAATAATTTCTCTTTAAAAAAAATTGCTGCAAAACGATTTTTTCAGGTTCTAAAGGCGACTACGCATTCTCAGGCAGCAAATTTTGTTATTTGAAAAAGCCATTGGTTCCACCAAATCTTATACAATAATAGGAGAATCCAATGATTTTAGGTGTAAAAAAAATAACCATCTTTCGGCAGTTCGCATGATAATTTCCTGAGTTATAGTGTTCAAGAAGGACCTAATTAAAAAAAATCCAAATTTTTTATGACTATTGTAATTATCAATTGCTTTATTTATTTAATTTTTACTGACCACGCTATGCACTATTTACGCAACTATTTCAAATATTTTAAATATCTAGTACGTCACATTTATTTCTTCATTATTTAACTGGTCGAATCAAAAATTTTATCCAAAATATCAATTATTTGGATAATTTTTTTTTTTTTTTTTTGTAAATATTGTTTGTTTTCAAGTGTATGTGTGTGTATGTGTATGTATATTGTATTATTTATACGCATGTACTTTATTGTCATAAATCGATCTTATACTATTAAGTATTTACAAGTTCTTAATACGAACATTCATAATAATGTTAATAATAACAATTGTAAAATTACTCGTTATTCATATATGTATGTATATGGATTCATGTGAGCGGTTGGTTTTTGGTTGCAATTTTTAAGGGAAAATACTTTTGTATTTACGTCGAGTAAGGTAATATTTACTAATTATTTATTATAATATTTTATAAATATATTTTTTGGGCAAGTATTTCTTTGCAAATTTTTGGTAAACGTTAAATTTGAACTGCATGGTTGAATGCTGTGTATGTTATACACTTTAACACTTAACTTAATCTTTGAATATTTTTATTTTGATTTTTACTTATACTTTTTGTTTTGAATCAACTATATATTTGTATATTTTTTGAAAACAGCATATATTTTTGGCGAGTGATTTTTTATTGTATAAATACAAATTGAAGTATATCCATACTATTTTGCTATATGTACGTGTATATGTATTTGCTTACAGAAATAAAGTAAATGCTGATACTAAGAAGATAAGTCAAAAAACGTACATCTTTATATTTGTTCTATTACAATAATTTTTCATTGAATGTAAACAATTTCAATGTTTGAGTATAATTAACTGGCCTTCTATTATAATTTAACATTTCCCGTCTAAATCGATATTTAACAATGCCCTAGATCTAAACATTTACAAAATTCTATATAATTTTAATATGTTCTGATGTCTTCTTTCTGTTTTCTTTTTCTACATACTGAGCATTATAAATATTTTTATGTTAAATTTATATTTATTAAATTTATTTATTTTAATTAAACTAATTAATAACTCTTTTATTTAATTTTAGAAAAAAATTTTAAATTCGTCTTTATTTACAATGTTTTTTTTTTTATTATTAATGTAACCAATTTTTGAAAATACTATTTTTTGAACTCGAATCGGTAACGTATATCTCCATAGACTTTTATTTTTGAAAATATATCTTTTCACCATTTATATTTTTTTTTTTCGAAAAAAAAATCCACTTTCTTAATACAAACATACATACATATGTATGCATGTATAAATAAATTCGGTGTTTTTGTACTTTGGAAGCACAAAAGTTTAGAATTTCTGTTGAAACATAGACAGAAGCACCAAAGAGCGATGTATCGTTATGACTTTTATGTTACGCATGCCACGCGCATGGATCTACACACACACCGTTACATTTATGCGTCGCAATGCTTTAAAATATGCAAAACAGTCCTTAACGGTGTGTATCGTGCGTTGGCTTAGGTTTCGGTTTTATACGGGGAGGGGTAGGCAGGGTTCGTCTTCATTCTTTCGTTTCATGGCCATTCGCACCGAGTTCGAGGAGCTCATGTGGTTCGGCATTCAACTGGAATATAAATTTTTTTCTGTTGTTTAACTTGTGAGGTAACTTAATTTGTATTAATATTTTACATCATTTTATGTCAATTTTTTTTATTAATATATTTAAATGTTTATTTTATTATTAATTTAATTTTTTTTCTTTCGATTTAATTTTCTTTTAATTTTATTTTATTTAATTTTTATTTTAATTTAGTTTAATATATCTCCGATTATTTTCTTATATTTTATTTCGTTTTTTTTAAGTTATTATATTTTTTCTATTTTACTTTATTTTATTTTTTATACTATTTTATTTTAATCCATTATATTTTTCTATTTTACTTTATTTTATTTGTTTTTTTTTTCATTTTACTTTATTTCATTTTGTTTAATTTATTTTGTTTTATTTTATTTGATATCATTTTGTTATAATTTATTTTGTTATTTTATTTTATTTTATATATTTTTAATTTTACTTGATTTAATTAAGTTGTATTTTATTTAATTTTTGTATTTTATTTTATTTAATGTTTTTATAATTAAATTTAATTTAATTAAGTTGTACTTTATTTTATTTATTTAATCTTATTTTAATTTTATCTCATTTATGGTTTTTCACAATTTTATTTTAGTTAATTTAAATAAGTTTTAATTCGATTTAATTTTATTATATTTTATTTTACTTCGTTTTTATTTAGTTTCATTTAATTTATTATTATATTATTTTATATATTTTGTTATATTTAAAAAAAATTTAAATTATTCTTTATTTTGAGATATTATCTTTTATTTTATTTTAGTTAAATTTAATTTCAAATATTTAATTTTATTTTTTATTTTAATGATTTTAAATAAATTTTCTATTATTTTATTTAATTTAATTTTTGATTTTCTTTAATTTAAATAAGTTTTATGTTATTTTATTAAGATTTATTTTATTTGATTAAACTTTATTTATTTTATTTAGTTTAATTTAATTTAATTTTGTTTGTTAATTTATTTAATTAAGTTTTTTTTAGTTTATATTTTTTATTTTATTTGTTTTTGTTTTATTTAGTTTGATAAATTTAATTTTATGTAATTTTGATTTTTACTTAATTTAATTTAAATAAATTTTAGATAATTGAAATTGAAGTTAATTTTACTTTATATTGTTTTATTTTATTTTTCTTTATTTCATTATATTTTTTATGTAATATAATATTATTGTTTTTTAGTTTTATTTTGTTTTAATACTTTTTTCGTTTTTTATTTTTATTTTTTACCGAACCTTATATTATTTTTGTTTTTTGTTTTGTTTAATTCTAATTTACACATTTCTTTGCTTACCCGATCAACACTCTGCAAATCGTTTCTCGACAGATGGTTGACCAATATGGTGCCCAATGCATCACACATGACGTTGATGGTAGTACGGAACCGATCCCTAGAGAAATAATGAAAAAAATAGTTATAATGGTGAACAGCTAAGATGCAATTAGCAAGTGAGAGCAAGTAACGAAGGGATAAAGTCTCAGATATATGTTCATATAAATTTTTTCACTTACAATAACCAATCGACAGCAATGATCAGGGAGACATCTTTCGGTTCCAGTCCCACAGTATCCAACACCATCACCATAGTTACCAGACCGGCTTGTGGTATACCCGCGGCACCTATCGACGCTGCCGTAGCCGTGATACTGACCGCAACAATATTACCAAAAGAATAACTCATCTCACGATATTGAGCAATGAAGAGAGCTGCCACCGCTTCATACAACGCTGTGCCATCCATGTTGATTGTCGCGCCAACGGGAATAACGAAACGTGTTACACGCGGATCAATGCCAATGCCATCGAGACATTTAATTGTCAACGGCATGGTGGCCGAACTGGAGCCAGTACCGAAGGCAGTGGCCAAGACTTGACTTAATTTAGCAATATACCGGTATGGCAATGTACCCGTACCCAAAAAGAATATCACAGCAATAGTGCCTTTAATGGAATAAAAAACATATATTTGTATAAGACAAAGAACCTAAAACATTCGATATAGATTTATATTGCACTTACCAAAGCCGTGCAGGAATAGGCCTAACATTACCGTTATAAAGTACCAACCCAAAGATTGTATCGTTGCCGTAATCGAGTCCATTTCAATAATTTTCGCAGCTATTAAAAATCCTACACCGAGTGGTGATATCCTGTTTTGTGCATAAATAAAATCTATGATTAATATTTACTTGATAAAATTATGATTTTTTTTTTTTACTTTCAAGTTATTCTGGCGAGTTTCTTCCAAACTTACCATATAACCCAAGATGTTATGGTCATCATGGCTTCACTCAGGGAGGTAAAGAAGTCTTGCAATAATTGACCTTTCTCGCGCATGCGCCCGATTGTTGTGCCCAAAATTACGCTGAACATAACCAAACCGAGTACGTTGGAGCCCTCACGTTGTGCCGACTTGAAATCCCACTCTTCCATGGGCACTGAAAATGGCAAAAAAAATACAGTTTAATAGATATTATATATATATTTCTATTAACAATTCAACAAGATTTACCTGGCGGACTGATGCTCGTGTTTTCGAAGATTTCAGTGCGATACTAGAAGAAAAGATAGATTTGAATTACAGTACACAAGATTGGGACTTATATGAAAGCTAAAATGAAATTCACATTAAAATTTATATCTACATTTCAACATTTCACGAGGTGAAGATTTAGTTTGAACATGATATATAAATCGTGGTAGCTCATTGGAGATTTTAACCACAGGAGGTGTCGAGAACGTATCTTTGGCAAAAGACTTGAAGCAACGCCAAATCATTTAGCCGGCTCAGATTTCAACACAAGAATATTTATCTAGCTAAACGACTGTTTTTGAATTGACAATATCGAACTAAATCCTCATTCTTCGTCTTCATTTGCTAGAAGCCAAACTTCTACCTAGACAGATCAGAAAGGGAGTACTCGACTTAAAGGACTGTATTCAGCAACATGTACAACAACCGCAGGACGGGGTGGCGTACAAACAAGCACTTAACACCATTCACCAGGAGTCCATTAACACCTTCATGAACTCACACACTGTTAAAGGCGTTCTCGGAGTCAAACCACCACCTATATTAGACGAAGAAGAGTCCCGCGTAATGTTGGCACAAGTCTGGTGTATTGGAGCAGGTTAAACTTCTACTTATTCAGACTCGACCCCAACATATCCAACAGTTTGTAAGGACCTCTCATTAGATGACCTCGATGACTTAGCTTAACTATTATGTTCCTAAGCGGGGATGGCGAGCAATTAGAACAACAAAAAGAACAAGGTATCGAAAAGCTTCAAACACTACAGAAAAACTTCAAGCTACGTACTTAAGACGTGGAATGTCGACCTATTGTAAAGAGAATGAAAGATCTATATCTCACAATGTGCCATATGAGAGAGATGCCGAGAGTTGGAGAAGGCAAACTGCTGAAGAAGCTATCCGACAGGAGAAACGTTCGAAAAAATCTATGAAAAGATGTAATGAAGGTTTAAAGGCATGCTAATGTAGAAACCTCAGAGATGATCCAGAGATCGCGGTTAAGAAGCATACTGGGTTTGTGAAGAAAATCATTTAAACTACAATGAAAGGGGCAGAGTTGGCTAACCTAAATCCCAATCGAAGTCGATGGAACAGAGTTCAATCAAAATTCAATTAGCTACTGTGTGACTGAAAAACAAAAAAGCGACGGGAGCAGATGGCTTTCTGACCGAATTTTTCACATAAAAGTTAAGCTCCGTCAGAATCGAGATGGACTTCTCAACAAAGAATATTATTTTATATACGCTAAAGAGATTTTCGGCCGGGCTTTGTGGTATGCATCTTGAGCCGCTTCCGCATGACTATATTATTTTTATGGGTAGCTTATATTTCATGCCAGAAATACATGCGAAGAGCTTGACATTCCCTGTCGAGAGGCGACCGCAAATATAAAAATGAATTTTTCTATAATTTTGGTTTGTGGTGGGACCAAGACTCGAACCTTGGTCTTGCATAAAAATAAAGAATTAATTTAATTTCAAACTAAAAACAACAACCTCGTACAATTAACATTTTCCAACATTTTTCACATACGTGTAGACCAGACTATTACAAGCATATCCGTTTCGGAAATAGTAATTGGCATGAGACCACTGGGGAGCAAAAATACCTACGTACATATATACAGTTAGCATTGCTGTTCAGCTGCTCTTCAGCACAAATCATGCAGATTAAGTAATTTAATTTGTAATACAATATGCTTGATACATACATACATACATGTGTTATATGTGAATGGACGTAAAGCACAGCAGGCGCACACAATGAACGACATCAACTCTTAGGGTGGCATATACATATATATGTATGCACGAGTACGAGTATGTATGAGATCACAATATGGGATGAAGTCTCATTTGATGGGTTAAGTGGCATTTCAAATATATGTATGTACATAAACATTTATATGTATATGTATATGTATATTCGTACTTATGATAAAATAGAGCTATCCATTTCGTGGTATCAAAAGTACACGACTATATTTTGACATCTATCAAACTTAACTACCAAACCGCCTCAAATAATGCTACTGTAAGTGAAAGTGTAACCTGTATGTTCTCAATAGCTGAGACATTCTTTCGTAAGATAACCGACTCTTTTTTGCCTGCCATTGATGATCGCGAATATGATTCCATTGCGAGAGAAATAACCCGGCAGTGAAATCTCTCTTTTGGCGATGTCGATCGACTACTCAGACGGACACCGTGGGTTTTTTTTTGTAGAGCTATATGAGGAACCATGATTTTGCGCATAAACCTTTAACTCTTGAGCACTTGAAAACCAACATTAGTCAAGCTATGGCTGGGATACCGCCAAATATATGAGAAAAAGTGGTTGAAAAGTACCTCAAACGAATCGAAGATAGCGAAAATTCGCGAGACGGTCACTTATATTATAAAGTGCTTCACATATAATTCCAAGCTTCAAACTTTACAATAACAAAGGAATTTCCTAAATAAACTCTTTTAAATGCTTTTAATGGATAATACTGTGCCTTTGTGGTACCAATACTTCAAAAAATGAAAAGCCAATAGCTTGCTGGGTGGGGTCTTATCTAAACCTATGGCTATTTATCGTTATTTTTTGGGAGTGTTTTTTTTTTAACAAAAATTATAATAAATTTTTGACTTGAAACTTTCCGATCAAATTTATTTTTTTTCTTGTCGAATCAACAATTTGTAGTAAAAATAAATAAATCTCATAAATAAGGTCGCAAAAACAGCTGGTACGATGAGCACTGGCATGCCACAGTGGAGATAAACTGGTTGCCGACCTCGCAACATTGCGATCGACCGCTACAAGTGGAGGAGGAGATAGATTCCGAGTGTTTGAAAGAAAAATGCCAGAGAGGTGATCTAGTGACTGTACCCAGAGTATACTGAACTTATGAGGGGAACACTTCTCCAGCCTTCTGTATGGCAGTGAAAATGGAACACTTGGAGATAGCAAACCCGATACCCAATGACGATGGATAATATGTTTAATTTCCAATTTCCGGACTGCACGTTTGAAAAGTAACAAAATTATGTGGGCCAATGGATTTCCAGCTAAGCTATTCAAATGCGGCCGCGAAAACTTAGAAGGGGCATGCCTCCTTAATATCGATCGTATGCGAAAAGAATCGATCCAACAATCTCTTCGTCGATTTGATATCATCCTTATACAGAACGAAAAGAAGATGCCTCTACGCAGACTGAGTTTAGTATCCCCGAAAGATTTATAGGCCTATGTAAACTAATGTTAAGCAACATCAGTCAGTATCGGGAAAGGACTCTACGCACCGTTTGCTATTAAACGAGGCTTCCGACAAAGTGATTCTTATCGGATAACTTCTCAAATTTATTGCTAAAGAAATTAGCCCGAACTACAGAGTTGAATGGAGAAGGTACAATCTTCTATTAGACTGTGGAGCTGCTGGTGTACCTTGATGATATTGAAATCTTTAGCCTCAACAACCGGGCCGTGGGTTCTGATTTCTCCAGACAAGATCTGGTAGTGAACGAGAACAAACGAAACGTCTCCTGTCATCAAACAAACAGTCGTGGCATTCAATATTCGGTTCCCACGACACTGTTGACGGTCATAACTTTAAAATCGTAGATAAGTTCGTGAATCTTGGAACAAGTATTAACACCAACAATGTCAGAATGGACATACAATGCAAAATCACTCTTTCAAACACTGGCTATTTAGAATGAGTAGCCTGGAAGAGTAAAGTCTTCGACGAACAAACACCAAGCCACTGTAGGGTTCATTATTTTCATCCTACTATGTGGTGGAGAAGACGTGGACGAAGACAACAGCTGAAGAGTCGGCGTTGGCAGTTTTTTAAAGAAAGGATTTCGGTGAGATTTATTGGATATATATATATATATATTTTTATAGTTTATATATATATATATTTTAAAAATTTTTGATAAATTCTACTTCACTATCACATTTTAAAGATTATACCGTAAAAATCTCATTGCAAATCGATCGACATAAGTTTTCCAAGTGATCTTCAATAATTTTAGAGTACTTAATATCGAATCAAGTATTATTACAAAATACATATCATTATAAATGTGGTCACAACAGCCGAGTAGTTAGCATTGCATACTGATATTCAAAGGGTTCAAGTTCTATAAAAATCCAAAAATTACAACAAATTAATTTTTCTAATTGGGGTCGATCCTCGGCACGGTATGCCAAGCCCTCCCGACTGTATTACTGACATGAAATATAAAACTCCTCATTAAAATCCAACGACCTTTCGGAGGAGGATTAGAATAAACTTTAGGTTCTTTTATTTGTTGCACGAACATCAAGACACAAAACCGGAAATAGGAGGAAGAGCTGGGCCGAAAATCCCTTCAGCGGTTACAAAGCGTCCAATATATTATATTATAAAATACAGTGGGGAGCACAAGTGATTCCACGTTCAACGTTTTCATATTTGGGAGCACATAAAAACTAAACAAACGAAGTAAATGATAAAATTTTAAAATTTTTTTAATAGTATTTAATTTGTAACAACAAGGCGTAAGAAATAAAGTGATTGAAGAAGCTATAGTAATGATTCAAAAACAAAAACAAGCGGCATGTATTCAATTTTGCACAATTTAACAAAAAATAGAAAATAAATTCATTATTAATATAATATAAGGTCGGAACGAACTCGACCCATTCTTGAAGCGGATGGTGACTGGCGACGAAAAATGGATCACATACGACAATATCAAGCAAAAACGCTCGTGATCGAAGGCCGGTGAATCGTCCCAAACAGTGGCTAAGCCGGGATTGACGGCCAGGAAGGTTTTGCTGTGTGTTTGGTGGGATTGGAAGGGAATCATCCACTATGAGCTGCTCTTATATGGCCAGACGCTTAATTCTACCATCTACTGAGAACAACTGGACCGCTTGAAGCAGGCGATCGACCAGAAGCGTCCAGAATTGGCCAACGGGAAGGGTGTAGTGTTCCACCAGGACAACGCCAGAGCACACACTTCGTTGATGACTCGTCAGAAGCTACGAGAGCTCGGATGGTATTATGAAGTTGCCGTCTAGATGGAAACAGATCATCGAACAAAACGGCGCATATTTTAACTAAATCCGATCACAGTAACACTTTTTATAAAGCATTGAATGAAGAGCAAAAAAGCGGAAGGGAGATATTTGACAACCTTATATTTGCTTCAGAGACCCTTATTTTTGGTGACATTTTTCATACGCTTTGGCATACTTTCAACTAATTTTTCGAATATTCCTTTCGGAATATTATTCCACTCTTGTTCAACACGCCCCCAATGATCATCTAACTTGAATGGGGCTGATTGATATTGTCCGAGCCGTCGCTTTACGATTGTCCATAGGTTTTTAATCGGATTGTGGTCGGGATTTTGCGCTGGCCACTCCATCATCTTGAAATTTTGGCTTCCGAGCCATTTTTTTAACTATTTTCGCAGTATGCTTGGGATTGCTGAAAACTGATTTCCTGCTCTGGGTACGCACACTGGTCAAGAAAATTGGGAAGATGGGTTTGCAAAATACTCAAATGGTCTTTATTACGCATAATCCCATCAATTTTATGCAACGGTCTAACGTGTGAATACGTGAAACATCCCCATGCCATTATGTTGCCGCCTCCATATTTTACGGTTGGCTTCACATGATGCCATTGAAATTTGTCACCAGTTCTCCGCCAACAGTATTGCTTTCCATCCAATTGAGAACGATTCAACTTAGATTCGTCCGAACAGATAACACATTTCCAGTCTTCTATTGTCCAGTTATTGTGTTCCTTGGCAAATTTTAGCCGAGGCTTAACATTTTTCTTTGTTCCGACTTACCCAATCCTACCAAGTTTTTTTCTAGCTTTCCATCGACTAACGCCTTTATTTATTTCAGTAGAAGCTTATTTCGGCGTTAAAAGTCTATTTTTTCTCATTTTAGGCATCATAAGTCGAGCGTCACAGTCTGTTAGAAGGCAACGGCGACCATTCAACCTCTTTTCAGCACAAACATTTTGTCTTTTCTGCACCTTAAAAACCACTGATTGACTAATTTGCAGCTGCTCAACAACAGTGCGTGTCGAACACCCACTTTTAGTCAGGGAGATAATACTATTTTCTTTATCAGAAGACAGCTTCTTCATTTTTCAGTGAATAGTTAGTTAGAGACTAAGTTTCGAAATCAACAAATCAACCATAAACTAGTGGAAGACAGTGATTTTCTGAATTCTGACAACGAATAATAAGTACAAATGGCACTTAACGGTAAATCTGCATGTCGATTGCTGATAAAAAAAGTAGAAAGAGCCAAAATATAAGCAAATAACGGATGGTACAATACTAACTACAAGCCGCTTGTTTTGGTTTTTAAATTATAACTATTCCATTTCTTCTTTTTCCATTTTGCTGTATACGCCTAATTGTAAAAAAATTAACAAGGTGTTCAATAAAAAAAAAGGTTTTATCATTTACTTTATTCGTTTAATATTTATGTGAGATCAAAAATGAAAACGTTGATCGTGCAATCACTTTTGCTCCCCACTGTATATTAGATAATAACGACACAAGCAGCACAAGTATTTCAGGCAGGCAATTGAGGTGAAAACTCGGCAATGATCCTAGGCTAGCGAAACTACTTGAGAGTTTATACCCTTAAATTGTTTACCACATAAGTATCATTACATATATATATATATGTATATACATATAAGCATTTAGAATTTCACAATGCTCGTTGAGTAATTCCGCTTTAATTTACACATGATTTTTGTGCGTATGTTTTTTTTTCGTATTTTTCTATTCCATTTTTCAGTTTCATATATACATATGTGTATGTGTGTATGTCCACCAACTATCTATCAACTTCACTCGCTGTTAAATTAAGCATTCGCTTGTAAATTGGATAATTCGTAAATAAATTGATATCAATGCAGATTTGCAATTTGTGGTGTACATACGCACCTACATAGTTACAGAGTACTTAATGTTTGTATGTTTGAGTTAAATTTGTGCGTTAATAATTCTACACAAAATTATAACAACAACTAAGCGATTCAGATTTGTAATAGCTTGTTACTTCCTTATTACAAAGGGAGTCAGCAGTACATACATATACAGTCTTTATAAAAAAATACATACCTGAAACATTGTCGATTGTATAATGTTATCTGTAAACATATTTCTGGAAAGAAAAAAATAAATAAAAATGAAAACTTAATTAATTCAACTCATACTCCTTACCTCACTAAATCCATCAGCGTATCGGGTGTCAGCACTTTCGATGCTTTATCCACGGATTCAGTGCGTACTTCGACAATTTTTGCACCTTGACCCGGTCGTATTGTTGTTACCAGGCAAATGCCCAAAACAACGGCGGAAATTGTTGTGAGGAAATAATAAGCATTGGCGCTAAAATGTTTTGAAAAATAATATAATGATTTATATTGCTTTTTAATAAAAATAACATTTTCAAACTCACCGTATGGCTATCTTCCCCGACATGCTGAGATCGAGGCCACCAATGGCACTCGTGATGGATGACACCAATAATGGCACAATCAAACATTTTAACATGCTGTAAGAGAAGGGAAAATATTTTGAAATTTAATGTGGTAAATACAATATGTTTTTGAAATTATATATTTACTTAAAATTAGCCTCAGTTTTAATACAAGTTGCAAGAGTTCATCTGATGTGGAACCAGTACAGGAAATACTCGCTTTAAACTTTATACGCGTAATTTGACAAAAGTACTGGTAGACGGATCAGTACCAGATGGAATGGCTTAAAGACCCTTAAGATCGCCAAGATCTTGTATCTTTGAAAGGTAGATTCGGTCAATTTTTAATCGCGATCTTGAAAGGGCTGCAGAACGGCTGTAGGTCTAATGACAGCCCCCAACCCACAACCCACTGGCATCAAATTCATATAATATGGGCAACAGCAATGCATGCAATAAATACGAAATTCCTATGCATGAGTGAGAAGATTTTACACCTCTTCTCAGTTTGGCCATCATTAACGTGGGAAGCACTCAAATATCTAGAACAGAGATCTATAAGAAATCTCAAAGCTAAATGTCGGATATTTCTTAAACTAAGTACGTAATTAAAACATTTTAGCAAAACTAAAAACTTTAAACAAAGCAGTAATAAGATATGTATATGTATGCTACGAATTCACTGTTTCATTGGTGGTCAGCACTAGACGAGGCTGCATATAGAAGCTGATAAACGTTCAGCGGACGGCAACCATATCGCCTAAACAGTGACAATAAGATGCAGAGAAATCTGAAACAAAGTCTCGGCTCTATGTGAAACGTTCGTGGTTTACATCTCTGATCATATGGCATCCGAGAGAACTTCGTAGCTGACGAGATAGCCAGAAAGTGCATAGACATATCCACAGTGAACTCCACACATAACGCGTGCGTACTTTTCATTGGAAAAATATATGTTATTGCTAGCCTTCACCGGAGTGCCTAACAGTAAATTGCAGAGTGAACCCACGTGTAATGTAATGTAATGAACCAAATGAAGTCTCTAACCCTTCAAAACCGAATCTGCATAAGCATAACAATCGGCTTATTAACCCGACAGTGCCTTATGGAGATTCTCGATAGAAGTATAGCCAGCTTTTTCAAAAAACCTTTTGCAAAACTGCTGAGACATAGATGAGAAAGAATCGGTGGAATATTACTTTTGCCATTGACCAGCACTCAGTCTGGTTAGTTATCGTTCTATCGGAAAATTCTCTTTCGATTGCTTTGCAGCGCTTACATCTGTAGGCATTATTAATCTAGTGATCTTCATAAAATACACAACGTGATTGAACATTGTAAAGGTGGTCCAAGAACCAACTTAATCAGGGCTCCGTGATCGAGCAACCTGTTTAACTAACTTACTAACTTTCTGTTGATGATAGAGCTTATTATCTAACGTGTTTCATTTTACAATTTTTTACCACATTAGGATTATGGCATAATTACGACACTTTTTTTTATACCACATTCGATCATAAATCTCAATTATCAGTTTCGTGTATTCAAAAAAAAATTTGAATTGATTTATTTTGTAATTCAAATAATAAGATACAGATCTTATTCGATTCTTTTTATCGAAGACAACAAAAATATTACAAATCTCTTTTTGAAAAAAAAAACTTATAACCGTTACCGACTTTCTAGTCTCTGACATAATTTTTTTTTTTAATTTATTTATTTGCAATCTGACAATTAGTAAATTATACTAATTATACTAAGATTTGCGTTGATGCATTAAGTGCGATTTGTCATAAATTTTCCTTTCTTTTTAGGATCTGAATGGCAAGTCAGGAGGGTACAGTCTTTGTAGTCTTCGTACTTCCTCGCTATTGTCAAGCAGGTTGAAAGCTTATGTGTTTGGATGGTTTTTAAATTTTTCGATATATCTTCTGCTGAACCTTTTTATTTCATTCTATTCGCTGTACCCCAGATTTGAGTTCCGTAAGTACACACCGGTTTCAACATCGATTTATAAAGAAGCATTTTATTTTCAAGGCTAAGTTTAGATTTGGGGCCAAAGCAACCAATAAATTTTCTGGTTTTAATCTTGAGCTGCTTTCTTTTGACTCCAAAATTTTCAAACCAAGTTAATCTTTTATTCTAGTGCAGTCCGAGATACTTAGCACTATTCGATCTAGTAATTACAGTGTGATTCAGCCTAAGGTTCGGACACTCTTTTTTCCTAAGAAGAAGCATTTACCGAAAGGTTGCATTTGTAGTTCATTCAATTGCCTTTGCACACTTTCTGCAGCCTGGATTGCAGACAGGGATGAAAAAGTACTGCAGTGTCGTCTGCATAAGTAGCAACAGTTATATTTGTGTAGTCTGTTATTGGCATATCTGCAGTATAAGCCGTAAAAGAGAACCAATACACTACCTTGTGGAACTCCAGCATTTACCTCGTATATGTCTGAAACTGAATCTTGAATTTTAACGTAGTAATGTCTGCAACTTATGTAAGATCTATGAAAGAGATAAAATGGGCTGGGAAGTATATTTTTAATTTTATATAGTAGTCTTGAGTGCCAGACTCTGTCAAATGCTTGCTGTATGTATATCAAGAAATATCGCGCAACATATCTTTTTATCCTCCACACCGCTAAGTATTGATTTAACTAAACGCTGGCATTGCTCCGGATTAATGATCTGCAATAATCGATTGTCTTTCTAACTCTGACAGTAATTTTCGAAGAAATATTCTTTCGAGTATTTTCAAGAATATTGTGAGTAGACTTTTTGGCTTGTACGAGGATAACTCATTTTCAGGTTTTTGTGGCTTTGGTACCATGTTTATTTCAGCACATTTCCACTGGGTAGGGAAGTGGCTAAGCCTAAAGCTACAATTGAAAATTATCACTAAGAACAATAAACATTTTTTTGGAAGTTGCTTAAATGTTAAAGCATCAATATTGTCATGACCTGAAGATTTTGTACTTCTCATTCTGGAAATTTCAGTCTGGATTTCTGAGATTTCAACGAAGAGCATGGTGTTATCCATTGGACACGGGGAATCAATAAAAGCTGCAGCACTCCACAAGTGGTTGTCACTGTTAATATCAAATGGTTGAAATATGGTTTTAAGATGATTGGCAAAAGCGTGTGATTCATTTTCACTTGATCTACACCATGAGTTGTTAACATCTCTTATAGGGATTTATCGTTATGTTGGTCTTTATAAGCATTTTGTAATCAGAAAAGGTGTGATGGATAGCTCCGTCAAACAAGAAATTTTGATAAAATCGCCGTTCAGGCAAAGATGGCTCTATTCTTTATGTTATATCGGCTTAAAAATTGTCTATTTCACTTCAAAATATTAGAAATATTATAGGATATATTCCATCAAAAGTCTGAACATTTTATTAAACGTGCATATTCAGGACAGGGTACACGCAGGTAGTCGTTTAACGGCTAGGTGGGGAACATGTCCTTACAGAATGAACTAAAATTTCAGATATATGTATGTATGTATAAGCAAAAACTGGAATAAGCATTCGAATGCACAGTTTTGAGTTCTATCCGCTAGACATCTCAAAATAGCAGCTCTAGCTCTAATTGAAATGGAAATAAACAACGATTTTTTATAAAGTATGTGAACTTCAAAGAAATGATTGATGTATTGTTTTTTAATATCCTTTCTTTAAATACTTAAATTCTACATAAAGTGAGAATCTTTGAAAGTATAATATGTAAGTAGCAACAATCTTTCTCTTTGAAATCAAATTATAGAAAAATTAGTAAAAATTTAATACTTTTATGCACCTTTTTATAAGTTAAAACTCATTGCCGGCATAAGATTGCCGAAGAGTCGTGGTGAATTTCCTGATCTCACCTGTTAGGGCTTTCACCATGAAATAAATATATAATTTTTTGCTAAAAAGAAATATCAAATGAAATTTTAATTTCTTTTCGAGCAAAGACAACTAAAAAGTGAAAAAAAATTGAAATAATTTATTTAGCTGGGAAACAAAAAAAATATTATATAAGTACTGAAAAATATATAAAATATTTCGAACACAAGTTGAATAGAATATTAGTTAACAAAAATTTTCCTCTATGAAGAAAAGAAACATCAATTTCACATTTCGAGCTTTTAAGTGCTTTCAACACACAAATAATGAAAGTAGTTTTAACAGTTTCTTGTACGATGATTTTGAATAGCCAATTTTAATTTTTTTCTCCCAGTGTATTTATTAGGATTTTAATAGAAATTGGTTGTATTCAATATATGTAAAAATGCAAATGCAAAAAAAAAACAAAAATAAGGAAAACAATTGAATGACGAACTTAAGGGGCACACCTAGTGTGAAATTTCAAAAAATCGACCTTTTCATATTTCAGTAGATTACACCTTTAATTAATAACATATAAATCAAATCGATATCTCAGATAGTTTTTGAGTTATAGTAATTTAAAGAGCAGCCGCTCGGCAGCTAGAGAGTCTCATTAGCTACGAGTGAAAACGATCATTTTATCTTTAAACGCGTTTTTCTCGAAACAGCATTTTCCAAATTTGCTGCGGTGATTACTCAAAAACAAATGTTCCGATTGTAATTTTTTCAACATGTTCTATATATAGTTCTCCGTAAAATGACCTATAGATTTTTTCTGATCAAAAAATCGAGTTTTGGCAGGTCAAAAACGACCAAAATTTTGGTTAAAATTCGACTATTTTTTTTTTAAACGCCGCTATATTGTCAATTTTTGGTTTTTTTTCATAGGTCATTGTACAGACAATGTTATCTAGTTTAACGAGAATTTTTTTTTGATTTCATCCACGGAGAAGGCCGGAATCACTGCAACACTGAAGGACCTTTTTTTTCGCGCCGTTGGAGATCGACTATAACATAAAAAAATATTTAATTTTTTTCTTCAAAAATTTCACTGTATCTGTTCTGTATTCTTGAATCATATATAAATATATTCATGAAGTTTTGAAATAATTGATAAAGAATTTTTTTTAATAAAAATTCCCAAAAATCACCTTTGTTTTAAGCCGGTACACTAGGAATTAAAAAACCTAAGAGGCTGGGTGCTTACGTAGTGCCAAAAAAATACATTAAACTAGTCAATTGAAGAAGTTCAACCCAAATCTTGTGAAGACTACGTTGAACTTGTTCACCTCTTAAGGCAGTAATAGTCTGGTAGTTTCGCGTTCTTCTCGAAACAACGTTCCTACGGTCGGCGCGATAATAAAATATTATTTGTCCAGCCGATTGTGCTGAATTTTAAATATGTTATTCTACTCATCAATAGCTCTCGAAGGAACTAGGATCTTTTTCATCGATAACTTTCTATTCTAGAGGAAGATTTCTATTTTAAAAAAATTTAACTTTTTTTTTCGAAGCCAACCCTTTTTTTTGTCTTCAACGTATAATCCTAATGCCGACTATAACGACAAGCTCACATAACAATAATATTGATTAATTAAAAATAATGCAAGTAACCAGACTACACTTCGTTAAGGAGAGCGTTGCGATGTTCAAGGGAGGAAAATAAAAACGACATTTAAATTTCCAATAACGTTCTTGAGGAAAATTGAAAACACGTTTTTTCAAACAAGAAATTAAAAAATAATTGGGATAAATTCACTTACCGCAAGAATAGTTCACCAGGAAAGGATATGTACATAATCTCACGCTTCGTCCAATCGCCAGTACTGTTCTTGATGATGAAGCCAACTAAACCGCCCAGGAACACACCGGTCACAGTTAGCATAGTTAGCGAGTTCTCCCGCAGGAATGCTTTGAATTTTGAATCCTCCTTCGGTCGCGTCATTTTGTATATATTTATATATATTTATGTATATCCTTTTATTACTTAAACAACTATTAAAGAAGTTGTTGCAAAAAAGTAAAATTTGGCAGAACCGAGTTTGGTTTTTGGTTTTTTGTTCCAATTTTTTATGTTTTTCTTTTTCTATATGGACTAGAAACTGTTGCTTTTCAGCGATGTGTGCAAGGATCAAAAGTACACACACATCTAAGCGCGCACTTAAGCACACACACAAACACCACCACGTTATGTTATGAACACCTTTGATGTGCGGCTACGATCTGCGAGTAGAAAATTACACATTTCATTTAGTTTTTAAGCAATTAATTAATTTTAATAATTTTTTATATAAATTATTATGTCATGAAAATAAATTATGCTTATTATCCTTTCGACTTTGCCCATACACAAACACACTCACACATTTAACCCAAAGGGACATTGATGCGGCGTTAAACTAAATTTGCTCGTTTACTTCACCGATTGACTGACTGAACGCGACTATAATCGCACGTAGTAAATTTTTCACTTTAGCAAAATGATTGCTTGTCAGTGGCTGGGTGGCTGTTTGGTGTGGTTGGATGCTGAGATGGTTGGTTGATAGTTGATAGTTGATAGTTGTCGCAATGACCGTTGGATATTAATGATACGCTATTGTTGGTGTTGTCGTCAATTAAATGCGCTCGTTGATGCAAATAAACACAAAGCCTAAAGAAAATACGTACATTTTTTTTTTGGGTAGCTGATTACCATACAGAAATTCATACTTCGTTCCACACGATCATACATACGTTCGAGTGATCGCGTTTACTCAACACACGCAGAGATTTTGCACCCCTGAGACACTAATACATACACTATACGTGTACATGTATTTCTTATATGCCTCACTTTCATATGCTCGCAAAGCTCGAGAGCATTCAGATTGTTCGCTTGTAATTACTTTACGAATGTATGGTTAAACGGTGAATTCGGACACGGGCAGGTGTCGGCAGACGCGCTCTCGTTCGTCGCGAGTGTCGTGACAAACACACAAGCAAATATATTTTTTATAACAATAACAAATTTTCGTACATATTTGGGCTTTTTTTTGACTATGAGTATACTGCATGTTGATTCGCACGACAAAAGCTGTCGGCTTTATTGTATGTAATAAAAAGCACCCTTTCGATTTTTTACTTTTTAAACCGGATGAAGTTGACGGCTTAAATTCGAATGCAAAAATATCATGAAAATGTTTCGAGGGGTAGATAAATGCAAATTAACGTTGGTGTTGTTTTGCAGGAAAGTAATATTCATCTAATAATTATGCCGGTAGGTATATATTTGCTTATATATATATAAATATATATATATATATATATATATATATATTATATATATGTATGTACGTATGTATATGTCCATATGTATTATATTACGTCATATATAAAATTTCAACAAAAAAAAGATATATACATATATATATTCATACTTGTGGTATGTAATATTGCATTTATAGGCGTGTGGTTATTGACAAATATTAGTAAGTTTCAAGCACATGATCTATTTCGATTTCATTCAGATAGCGGAATCAAAACCCCAACTAGCCTCAAGTGTTCTAAACATGACACTCCATTGAAAACCCTGACGTATTAAAATTATACCAAGAATCTGCTAGCGAAACTATTCTATAGCACTTTTCTGGGTCAGTGGTATTTCAAATTTTTGAATTTAGTACTGAAAAGTTATTAAATATTTATTTATACCATTTAACTTTCCAGTCATAGTGCTATATACTTGACTATACTTGAGAACCATATACGAGGGCTGATTAAAGTTAAATTATGTACCTGTACCTTTGAGGAAGGTGAAGATCGTATTCATATCGAAGGCTAGAAAGAGAAGTCTACTCTATACCAAAGAATAGAGATTAATCCTCATTTGTTCTGAAGACACTAGAACTATCTGTCGGCCAGCATATCAAAGGCGCACGACTGAATCTGCACTTCACTCACTAACCGCAAAAATAGAAAGAACTCTGAAGCATAGGGAATACGATCTAGGGATTTTACGGGACTTTCCCTCAAAAAAAGGTAGATTGCTGACGTTAACGTGTAGAGGAACACCTCAAGAAGGTGTTCTGTCGCTGCTCCTGTTGTAACTCGTGGCAAAAGAGCTTCTTGGAAAATTCGAAGCGAAAGCACCCATATTACCTATGCGGACCAGACTTAGGCAGCATCGGTAACGTATCAGTGTTCTAATGATCGTATATCGGTGGGTAATATACGCCAACTTAGGGGTTACTGTTGTCAAAACAAATGCCGTACTATTTTAAAGAAGATTCAAAACTCTCTAAGACTCAACAGAGTGGAGCTTCCTATCAAGCATCACATGAAGTAACCGGGAGTAGTTTTTGGCAGCAAGCTGTTGTGGAATTTAAGTATAGAAAAAAGGATTGAAAAGACTTTTATGCATGTAACACTTGGTACCACATAGGGCCTATCCCCTCACCTGATGCATTATGTTACACAGCGCTAACCAAGGCGATATTGCTCTACCGCGCTTGCTGTGGGGGATCGCTGTTAGGAAACCACTGAAGCGATACCCTGTACTGTGCTCCACAGGAGCGCTAAGGACCACTTGTCCTTGTCGACATTGCAGTGGCGAGCACTGCAGCAGAATTCATATGAGATTGAAAACCTAAAGTAAATTCTCCACTAGTATCTTCGGGCTCAGATTAATATGCGAGCGATGAAGGACAAAATAGACCCCATACCCCTCGCTTCGTCTGGAAAATAAGATTTCAAGCTTCTTTTAAGGAGAGCGGATGACATAGGTACATGCAACTCACCAGTGGAACATTTAACATTTACAAGAAGGATCAACATTGGCCTGGTGGCATTTAAAACAATAAACTCATATTGCATCAGAGAATTTACTTAGAAACAGGGAAATATAAGAAAGGCGGTAAACGGTTGCATATATACTGGAAACAGTACAGGATATACATATGTCGCTAAAAACGAACTATAATCAAATATCTGACTAAGTTGATTATAGCATTTAAAGTGATATGGAATACATTAGCGACATGCAAAAACACCAAGATCATGTGCAAGTACAGCAAAGAAAATACCAGTTTCTTGCTTATACGATCACATAAAGGCTTCAGGACAGTTGTTGGCCTGATAACCAGTCATTTCATCAGCAGAATGGGTATTAGTAGCAGTGGAACATATAGGAAGCTCAGAGATTAAGGAATAAGTGAGACGTTATAACACCTCCTCTACTTCTGTCCAGCCTTAGTTAAACCTCCTCTTAGATATCTCGAAGCATGGCAGTTTAAAGAATTGGAGAAGTCTTCAATATTAGATATTTCGACACTGACACCGCAAGGGGCAACAGGCTTATGTAAGGCGCATCAGCCTGTCAGAGTAACCTAGCCGAAGGCATTCACTTAATTTTAAATAAAATAAAATAATTTAATATATAATATACAAAATTTAAAATAAATTGATATAAAAACAGAAATTAAATTAATCAAGCTAAGAAAAAATAAAGCAAAATAAAAAAAAAATTAAAAAATAAAATAAAAAAAATAAAAAAAAAATAAAATAAAAAAATTAAAAATATATGATAAAATAAATTAAATTAAAACAAAAGAAATAAGAAGAGTAAACCAAATAAAAAATATAGTAAAGTAAAATGAAATATAATAAAGTGTAATAAAATACAATAAAACAAAGAGAAATTAAAATAAAATAAAATAAAATAAAATAAAATAAAATAAAATAAAATAAAATAAAATAACATAAAGCAAAATAAAATAAAACAAAACTAAGTAAAATAAAATTGAATAAAAAAATAAATCATATATTACAAAATAATTTATATAAAAAATTATATTAAAATATAAACAAATTAAATGAAGTGGAATAAAATGATATGGAATAAAATGATATGGAAAACAAAAAGAAATAATAAGAAAATAATAAAATAAAAAATTTAATATATGGAATAAAGCATAATAAATTAATAAAAATTTAAAAAAATGTTTTCTTCATTACATCAACATAAATTAACAATTTGAAATAAAATGCATTGGACTTATGCATACCAGGAATTTGCTAGCACAACTATTATAAAAGCCTTCATCCAACTACTGCGGAAAGAAAACTCTTGAATACAGTACAAAAATAACTAACAAAATTTTTATTAAATTTATTTTAACTAAATAAAAATAAAAACAAAAAAAATTATTAACAACTATATGATCAAATATATTGCAATACTGCTTTAGAATAGAAAAAAAACTGTCAATAAATACTTAACCAAAAATTAAATACCTATTAAATAAGATAAATAAATTTGAATGGTCATGAAGCTTATAGCATATAATAACTTTTGATTTCTCTACTTTCTTCTCAAGAGTAACGAACAAAGTATAATTATAATATATTCTTGCAACATACAATCACTCGAGACATTGGATTATTTTAATAACGCAAATGAAAATACTGTACATACATACGTGTATGTATGTATGATAAATATATTAGCTTGCACCAATTCTAAAATTTTCTTAATCCACATACATACATATATAATACATATACGAGTATATATGAGCTTAATATATGTATTAGGGGCTTGGCTTCACAACAAACATTCGCAGCACAACAATAACCAAGACGTGCAGGTTATGAACTTAGTTTTTTTTTGACAAAATTGATGATAAGATTTTTGAATGAGTACATACTTCGACAGTGAAAAATCAATAAAGAGGGTAAGCGGGTTAATAATAGCACTTGTTTATTATTTAAATATCCCTACATACGTACGCGTGTGCAACATATTGGTAAATGCTACCTATACAAACATTATATACTTAATATGCAGATGTATAATGGAAAAAGAGGATTAACTACAAAAAATTTTGACATGTACAGTAGCACAAAAATGAACTCGGACACACAAGTTATAAGACTTAAAACAAAAAAATATATAATAAAATGCAAATCGAAGACTTTCTGTTTAAGCGTATTTTTCAAAACAACCAAAACCATAAACTAAATTCAACGTGTAAAAATAATATGAAAATAGCAAGAACTCGGACATATATTTTTAATATTTGGTAGGTAATCCTTTACTTTATCTGATAGCATTCAGTCTTCTTGGCAAAGATTCAACTAGCTTGTTGCATGTTAAAGAATTTATTTCCCCCACTCTTCCAAAATAACGGTTTCTAGGTCTTTCTTATTTCTAATAACATTCATTTTCAGTTTCCAAATGAGCCCAC